AGCAGAAAAGGGTTAATCGGAGAAATGGGTTTTTGTTTCCTTAACTGATTCAGTAACCTTTTTCAAGCTACATCAATGGTGGAGAAGAATCGTGGGTTAGTCTCTACTCTCAAGCTTTTTCTCTACCTAAAGGATTGATTTTTCTGTGATTTTATATGGATCTACTCCAAAAATTTTACCCTTTCAATCTTTTTGTTTTTTGTTCCGATCAAAATCAGAAAAAAGAGAGAGCTTTTTAGGATTTTCCGGCTATGAATAATGGTGTGTTTGTTTGGTGTGTCCGGCGTAAACAAACCCACCACAAAAGCATTTATGGTTTTATGAAGTTAATTTATTTATTTTTTTGTTCAATTACACATTTAGAAACTCTTTGATTGGTTCACCAATTCGGTAAAAATGTTTTTTTTTTCCTGTCAAAGTTAAAATATCGTTTATAAGACAATTTCTAAGGAATTTTTTTGGTTTGATTGTGTTTCCAATATATTGTTTCTTTGTGTCCTGATAACATGGCAAAAAGGAGTATGTGCAAACTGAAATGTGTTTTGTTTCAATTTTCTATTAAATTTCATTCACTTATCATAACCAAAAAATTACCAATAAATATAAAAAAAAACATTTTAAGATATTTTTTATATAAAAATAGTCTTAAAAAAGTCATAAATATTTACGATATAAAAATAGTCTTTAAAAAGTCATAAAAATTTTACAACTAAACATTTGTTAGCAATAATTAAGAATTTCTTATAATAGTCAGAGGAAGGTTAGGATGATTTATGATTCTCTTAGGATCTTCTTGATAATGGAAGATAGGGTTCATGGGATCGGAGGAAGGAGAAGTAGGCCTGATAGTAAAGTTGCTTCGATGATGAAAGATTGTTTCTTGTAGTTGCATCGTGACAAACACATTGTTGGTTCGATTCATGGAGTGCAAGTTGGTGACATTTTCTTCTTTAGGCTTGAGTTGTGTGTTGTGGGTTTACATGGAGAAAACACAAGGTGAGATTGATTTTCTTACAGGGAGTCTTAGTTCTAATGGTGAGCCAATTGCTACTAGTGTGATTGTTTCAGGTGGATATGAAGATGATGACGATCAAGGAGATGTGATTATATATACAGATCATGGTGGGCAAGATAAGATTGGTAGGCAAGCTAAACATCATAAGCTAGAAGGTGAGAATCTTAGTTTGTCAAGGAGTAGGTATTAAGAGATTGAAGTGAGCGTAATTAGAGGGTTTGAGTACGAGAACTCGATTTCTAGCAAAGTTTATTCTATGATTGGCTGTTTAGGATTATTGATTCATGGGTTGTTGTCGGGAAATCTGGTTTCGGTGTGTTTAAATTTAGGTTGGAGAGGATCGAAGGGCAGCCCGAGATGGGTAGCTCGATTCTGAAGCTTGCTAAGACTCTTAAAACCAACCATTGTCTGTCAGACCAAGTGGTTACATCAGTTTCGATATCTCAAATAGGAAGGAGAATGTTCCTGTCTATCTCTATATAACGACAAAGAACCTTTGTATTATGAGTACCTTGTCAAAGCTTCGTTTCTGCCTTGCTTATTTATTCAACAGAGTAATGGTGCAAGTGGCTGCAACTGTACCTCAGGTTGTAGCAGTGGCTGCCTTTGTGCAAGTAAGAATGGAGGTGAATTTGCTTATGATTACAATGGGAATCTAATCAGATAGAGACCTTTGATATCTGAGTGTGGACCGGCATGCCAGTGCCCTACAAATTATCGAAACCATGTGACTCAAAAGGGTTTGAGGAATAGTCTAGAAGTGTTTAGGTAAGTGGAAACGGGTTGGGGAGTTCGATCTTTGGATATATTACATGCTGGTGCTTTTATTTGTGAGTATGTCGTGGTTGCTTTGACAAGGGAACAAGCCAAAACTTTAACCATTAATGATGACATATTTGTATATCCTGATCGGTTCTCGAGTATAACA